ATCTGACTTGTTGGAAGGCTGGTCGACGTCTCAGCAGATTTACTGAGCGCCAGAGACAAAATACTGCTTAGACCGCTCGTGCCAACCAATTTTCTGGGACTGTTGCTGATGATTTAAACGAAGGCAGGCGTTCATAAAGAGAACTTAGCCCTGATCTGAAGACACTGAAAAACAAGCAGTATATCACACATGAATGCGCTCGATGAAAACATCAACATCTAAGACGCAGGGTCTTAGAGGGAAAAAAAAGCAGCTTGGTCTGTGTTCCTTTCATCAGTTCTGCTCTGCTACACTGAAGCTTGTGTTTTCTGATCGTGCAGTGTTTCAAATATTTTCCTCAAACCGAGTGTCCTTTGATGTTTGAATGTTGTAGTCAAGTCAGTTCACTGCAGTGAGAGCTAAAATGATAAATTATCAATAAGTTACAGGCTGTGGGGAAATCACCTGTCAGTCACAGCTCTGGATATACTTTCAAACACTCAAAACATCAACTATCGCAAAGAATCACCAATATCTGTTACGGAATTGGATTGTAGTATGAAGGAATTTCTAAAGAAAAGTTTTTTAAATTATTTTACTTAATATTTTCTATTTGTTGTCAACATATACATAAAAAATAAATACTTTTTATAGATCATGAGTAATGTATTGTTTTGTCTATATTTGGCTTTGTCTATTGCCACCGACTGGATCGATTTTACACTGGTTAACATCCATGTAATTCCAGGACCGGCAGAACAGTACAGCCATTTAATTCTATTAAATTGACTTATCATTCGGGTACTAGACAACAGGTAACTTCTGAATACTTTACGGCATTTTTAGGATCCTATATTTATACATTTTCAAAATGGAAAAACAACATGATTTTCACAGAAGTCCAGCAATAGGACGTTGGTCTTGTTGGGGACTTAAACCCAGTTGTGCAGACTGAAAATCAATGCATGTTAATGGTTATTGAAGTTGATTTCACGACCATTAGAAGGCTGATCTGTCGAGTTCACATAAAACCCTGGGGATCACAGAGAGCAGCCATGAAGTGGAGCAGAATTTTTAACAGCCTAATGAGAAAAAATTACATAGGGAGTTTGCTCATTATGGCTTTGCAAATGAAATGTACCAGTGCTGATGTCTCCACAGGCTCGAACTGAGGACAGAAAACCAGACTGTAGAATAGGCAATGATGTGGTTGGTTCTCTCAGCCGGATATAAAACAGATGGAACAGAGACAGAACACATCCAGACAGAGGAGGGATGAGACGGAAACAAGAATTTATATGATGTTGACATACAGTGCAGGGCAGCGGTTTGTTTAAAAACAAAAGAACGCGGGTTAGACATAGAAGAAAATATAAAGAAGAATATAGCAAGTTATCAGTTGACTAGAACTGGAGTGATTGGTTCATGTAAATTCAAAAACAAAAGAAAAGTGGTCAGCACTAAAGAAACCAGCAAGACATGTTTCTGGATAACCTAGAATAAGGGCATGTAAGATGCTAAAACACTAAGTTCAGACTGAAAGAAACTATTGTCCTGCACAGGGATGGAGTGAGAGATTGCAGAGGAAGAAAAACTCTGCTAAAGACCAGACTGAGGTCTGCTGACAACAAACCAGAGAAAGATGAAGCAGAGTAGAGGCAGAACATTTGGTCAGGTGAGACTAAACCTAAAGAAAGAACTCTGTCCCCACAGGACTGTATCACTATGGAACTTTTCAGAGCATCTAGAAAGAGTATTCTTGAGTGGGCGGGCGGAATTTGGCAGCAAAACTCCTTATCTTCTTAGTGCTGCTGTTCTCTTTAATATTGGTCGTACTGGTGGTATTTGGAGAGCCAACTATTTTTCCAAGGTGGTTAAGAACCACTGCTAATGTACACAGGGTTAAGCAGCTGACTATTAACCATGACTAAAGGCTGTTAGATTTGGAAGCTCTTGAGAGATTTATGAGAACAAACGACTGAGACTTCAGATTATGTCTGAAAAAAACTCAGACTATTGCTCTTCTGTACTGCACTTAGCAAAAAGAAACACAACAAAGCATTAGATACAGGGCTCTACACATTGAGATTTTTTTTTTCAAGTTTTGCTGGATAATTCTCCTACTGTAGATAAAATTACCAAATAAATAAGACTAGTATGTTGCATAACACATCTATCTTCAATTTTCTAATAAATATAGATAATATAGATAAGAATGATTCAAAAATTACTAAACAGAAACTGAATGAGTTTAGCATTTAGGAAAAAAACATTCTGGAAAATCTTTTAAAAAGAAACAAAATTGATGCATTTAACCATTATTTCGCAGATTTCATTCGAACAAGTGACAGGTGCGAAAACAACTTTGTCCAACCAAAATAGTCCTGAACACCACAGAGGGTCAGCCTGTCTGACCCCTACAGAGACATAAGCAGCAGGGCTCATCAGTACAACCATTTTTCAGGGTTTGAAACTTGGACTTCATCTGTGGAGAAGAAAGTTACTGATCATTTTGCTGGATGTTAGATGAGGCAGCACTGGTTAACCTCTGCTGCCCCTGACTCTTATGATGGATGCCAGGTTTAACAGAGAGCGTCACCGATACTAAATCTTCCTCAGGACCGACTCCTTCAGAACAAAAAACTGCTGAACTAATGGGACATTTCCTCAGAGCTCCAGATGTTTTCTCCTCTTCTCGTCTTTCTTTCCGAAGACACCACAGTGGCTGCATTCCCAGAGCAGTGACCGCATGTTTTTTACTCTTTCACACAAATGGTGACCCACTTCCTTTGTTTAAAGTGCTAACTTGAGCATCTTTCCCCCAAGGTTTATTAGTATATCTACTAAAGCAGACCGGAAAACGTTTAACTTTCTATAACTATTTTTTTTTCAAAGGAAATATGGTAACTGCATTTTTCCTGAAACTTTTCATGATGCTTTTCAAAAACAATCACTAATTGGTGTTTGTTTCCATCCGACTTTCCCTGCATCACCAACAAACCAAGAAAAAAAGATTTTTCCTCCAAATCTGAGTGAGAGGAACAGCAATGGAAAAAACAAATCCCAGCTTCACATTCTTTCAGGGAAACACTAAAATCTGTAGTTTCTTAATTCACTTCAACTTCTGTAGGTCAGGCCACAAACAGAAAAGTCGTGTCACTGTTTTTACACTGGGCAACATAATTATCATATTTGTCCTTATTTTGCAAATGGTAAAATACCTGCTACACGCATGCAGAAAAACGATGGTTTATCATTTTCTATTTCTATCAACCTTTTTCTATTCTTCCTGTAAAAAGAAAGACTTAAGCTGCTTTAAGGTCAGTGGTTGATACATTCTAACTCTGACTCTCTGTGTCCCAGGAAAACTTCATGGCATTTGAATGACAATCCAAATTTCACAGGTACCATTTCTTCAGGCATGTACAGTATGGACTCTTTTGTGCTACAAAGCACTCCCTTCAGTATTGTTTCTACATATATTGTTTACTGTATCAAGGCAGAAAACCAAAGAAATACTACCTACAACAGGAGCTCAAAGTTAACAACCACAGGACAGTAATTTCTGCCCTTTGCATTGATGTCCATCTAGTAATTGTAACCACTTGGTTAAAAGGCAAAAATAATGTATTCTCTCCCTCTCTGTCCCATCCGTATTCCTTCTTGAAGATTTATGTATCAGATGTAAATGTTTAATTATTATTATTAATTATTATTACACAACAATAGCCTTTGTAAACCAAAGCCTAAAATACACAAGGAATTAATTATCCAACAATTTTTATGTTAAATAAATGCACAAATATTAGTTGTTAGTTTTTTAAAAAATTACAACAACAATGCACATTGTTTCAATTAACTCTTTAATTAACTTAAATATTTCCCTGTTAAAAAGGCAATCTATATACAGTTACTTGTAGCTGGACATGGTATGTCGTTGTCAGGAGTTATTATCAAAGCAAAGCTACCTATATTAACAGCTGTGTACCACTATTGTCTTACTGTATTGACTGTAGGACAATCTATTTGGAGGAAGTATGACAACACTATTTTGCTGATGCTTGAAAACTGACACAAGCAGAAAAGGGAAAACACAAAACAAAAAAGGTTAAAGATTATTTTCCTTGTTAGTTTGCATATCACTGAAGCAAGTCTGTCATATGTAAGTGTTAGGTCAAAAAGGTGTGCACTATAACCTATAAAATTAAAATAAGCAAATTTGTCCTGCAGTGAATATTTCAAATATGCTGCAAAATGTGGTTTACATGCAAAACAAACAAACAAAAACAAAACAACACCTCTATCCTACAATGGTTGCTGTGAATACACATCTAATGTCCTTCTCTTTGACTTCAGTGGGCTAGTAAACTATTATGGTTTAATATGAACCTTCCAACTGTTAGAGCCACATAACTTTTAAAAAGCAAAGGATTTACCCCAGTAGTAATACATTAGCACAGCAAGTGTGATAATACAACAGACTGGTAGACAGAAAACGTGTCATTTTGTGATGCTGTTCACCTCCAAGTGTTGTGACAAAAATTTATTTCCACACAATTTTATCACATTAACCAAAAAAGGCCATCACCTTAGAACCCAACTGCTTAGCTCAATTATAAATAAGTGTTCTGTGGCATAAACAAACGTAAAACCGTTTTATTTGTTTCCCTTTAGCCTAAGTTAAGATAAGCTAATCCGTCCAACAAATATCCTTTTTAACTGCTAGTGTTGTCTAGTCTGGGTTCAGGGTTCTAAAGTTTACCTGTGTTAACCTTATACACACACCACATCTAGGCTGTTGGGGCTTTAACACCGGTAGGGCTACGTGTCGGTTTGGGTTCCCGAACCAACTTTAGAGCCGGCCGGCGCATTAAGAACCAAAAAAATAACAGGTTCGGAACGTGAAAGTTTGGGTCCCAACGGAACCGAGAAATACCTGGCAGAGTAAACCAGCGGACCTCGCTATAGTCACGTCTGCAATATATATTAGACGTATCGGCCTACACATACTTTTTACATACCGTTCGCATTGATGTCTTCTCGCCATCAACAGCTGGTGCATGCAGCAGGTACAAACAAATGCCCGCAGGTGCTCCACGCGATCTGCCATTTTCCCGTTGCTACGATTGTTTACTGTGGCTTTAGTCACGTGGAGTAACATCCTCCCACTAAACTGGTGTGACGTGACTTATGCCCACTTTGGTTCCACTTATAGTGTAATGAATGCGGGCTGGTTCGCTAGAAAGCGCTTACATTCTTAGATTCCAGAACGGAACCAGAGCCAGAACCAGAACCACCAAACGACCCTTTGCGACTTTAAATGCTTAATAACTAACTGGAAAGTTGCTGTATTTGACAGAGCTGACTTGGCTTTTACCTTTACATTGTGCTCATTCAAACTCTGACACAACCTCATCAAAGATAAAAAAAAAAAAACAATATAAAAAAATACTAAGAAATACTTCTGCCACTGTATAAGACTGGTGTACTTTATTTCTTCTAAGTACTAAAAAGTTATTTGGCTTCAAAATGTGGGATTATTTTATAAGCTCCATAAAGTACTGGCCAATAGGAAGAAAATGAAGGATAATGTCGGATGTTCACTTAGATCTTGTGCTTTTGCTAAAGTTTATCACAGCCAGAGCTTCGAAAAACCTGGAGAGTCCTGTTGGCTGTAATTAGTTAAACCCCTTTACCAGTGGTAATAATACAGGGCTACGTTTTATTTCTGTTGGTTTGACATACAAATGGTATAACTTCATAGAAGAAAAACAAGCCTGGGAATCGCTAAGGAATTATCAGCAATTGGCTGGATTCAGACCATGTGGATGTAAGATAAGAAGTCCTTTTATTATTGGACTTTAGTTCTTATGACAACAGATATTCAAAATCGCTGTTAAATATCTTTTTCACTTATCTGACTAACAAATATCCATATTGATTAATACAAAGTGTACGCTGAGTTGAAATTCTATTTGCATTCTCTTTGATTTGTAGGTCTCAAAATATCTTGAATAAATAAAAAGAAATCTTAAACAGCTATTTTAATAATTACAGTTTCCTTGTGGAATTGACAAAAAAATATTGTAAAATGTAGCCAAACACTGCAGCACACAGTCAAAGCACCAATGCTGGTTTAAATCAACTCAATGCTTCATCATTGAGACAGCAGTTTTACATATGTACCGATAAAATTTTAGCTGCTCTTCGTTAGGCAGTTATCTGGGCTTACAGTATGGCACTGACGGCAGGATGAACAGTACAAGTCCTCAAAACACATTGAGGAAAGTAGCTTTAGAGTCTACACCGATGGCATTTTTGGCTGTACACCGGTACGTGCCACTGTCTCTCTGACTTGGATTCTGGATTATAAGGGAACCTTGTGGGTGGAGATACTTGTTGCCAAAAAGGCGGGGCTGTGCACTGACAGCCAAGCGTGTTTTGTCAGGTGTTTCCCAAGCTACCTCCACTTTGGGAATCCCAGTGGCTATACAGTTAAGCTGAACAGCAACGCCATGTTTGGCATAAGTTACAGATGGAGGGCCACTGGTAATCCGAGCTGGGTATGCTATCACAGCTGCTGATACAGAAAGCAGAGAGCTGCCATACTCGTTGGCAGCTTGGCATATGTAAGAGCCTCTATCATACACCGAAGCTTGTTGGATCGCCAGTGTCCCATTGGACAGTACAGAGTATCGTCCGGCTCTCTGCGGCCTGTTCAGGAGGACACCACTGGGTAGTGTCCATGTTAATCTGAGGGCATCTCCGCTAGTTAGACAATGGAGCAACAGCTGTTCACCATTCATGATGTTAACAGGAGAACTATATCTATTGATGATCTCAGGCTTTTTACCAGGGGATAATGAGACTGAACGTTCAACAAGTCCTCCAGAGTTACGCCCCAGGCATCGGTACATACCAGCCTCACCCACAGATGGGTTACTGATTATTAAAGATCCATCCGACCGATGGAAAAACTTGGAAAATCGAGTGCCACTGCGCAAAGGTGTGCCGCTTGGTAAGATCCAGGTGATGTGAGGTTGTTCTGGGCCCTCAAATGTGCAGTTCAATGTCATAGTGATGCCAACTGTCAGTGAGCGGCTTTCTGTTCTGGGACCCCTAACTTTTGGCTTATTGACATCTTCTTTCACTTCCAGGTAAATCGTCCTTTTTGCTTCTCCTCCTTCATTTCGAGCCATACAAATCAATGACCCAGAGTCAGTTCTCTTGGATGAACGGATTTCAAGGGTGCCATTTTGATGTACTGTCATCCTGTTGCTGTAGTATGGTGCAGGCAGAATCACGTTTCCTGGAAGAACCCACATTATGCGAGGCGTTGGGGTTCCTTCAGCTACACAGTCCAGTAGTGTCCGCTGGTTCTGGACTGCTGTTATTACCCTGGTTTCCTTCAAGCCAACTATCCTGGGTGGAGTTACAACAACATCTAGCTTAATGACTTTATAGTCTTGTCCGGCATTGTTTTTGGCCATGCAGGTGTAGTTGCCACTATCAAAACGTTGGACCTTCTGAACCAACAGCACCCCATCATCCAAGACCTGATATTTGTGTAAAGCAGGTGAAATAATTCTGTTTGTAGGAGATATCCACGTAATGACCGGCACCGGTTCTCCTTTAGCTTTACATCTAAGTGTTCCTGTTTCACCATAGAACACGTTGACAACCTCATAATTTTTATTCTGGATTTGTGGTGGGGAAGTTGAAGCCTTGACCTTGACTCTGACCTTCATCTCATCCTTGCCAAGCTGATTTTCAGCATAGCAGGTGTAGTCACCCTCTTCTGGCATTCCCACATCATTGAAATACAGTGTTCCGTTGTCAAACACTAGGTACCTACAATATTAGTGAGAAGAATAAAGAAAATTAGGTATATACATTTAATAACAAGAGTATAGTATAGTATTGTATTTAAAGGTCAGTTTTCAAATGGTTGATTGTGGTCCTCAGGTGGGTCAAAATTAGGTGAGAGGCAGGATAGAAGTGTCCCTTTAGTTTTAGATTTTTCAGCCCTCACTCAGAAATCAAGTACCATGTTAGTTGTTACGCAAGAAGGGTTGACCTTCACCTCTTGATGAGACTACACCTGACCAACACCAACATTTTCTTAGAGCCACAATCTCAGAAGTTAGTGGATTTTGTGCATTGGGTGGTCTGTTAGTAAAAAAGCAACCCATACCTTCGAGTGCGTCCTCCACTGACATGTTCCCTTTGTTTGACTGGGTTGATCATGGTCCCGTCGGGAAGAGCCCAACTGATCTCAGGGTTGGGGAGGCCAGATGCCACACAGTCCACCTTAAGGTCTCCCCCGTAGATTACCTCTTGTTTGGATCGCTGCTGCTTCTGCTCTATTTTGGCCGGTTTCTTCAGTACATTGACCCGCAGCACAACATAGTCATCGCCCAATTTGTTACGTGCAACGCACAAGTAGTCACCATTGTCCGTATCGGTCACATGATGAATTATTATACTGCCATTGGGGAAGACCTTGATCCTGGGATCAAAACTACCAAAAATAATAAAACTTTTAGCATACAGACTTTGTATTGTTTCAAATTTGAGACAAAGAAAGTTTAAGAGTATGTAACTTATTACCTGTACTGAGCATCAGCCAATTTTCTGGAGGGTGTCCTCCAGATTATCCATGGATTTGGTTGTCCTTTGGCCACACAGTTGAGCAGCAGTGTACTCCCATAGATTACATCTGTGCTCTCTGGAGAAGATGATGTAATTTTAGCCTTGGAAGAAGGAGAAAGACTCTTTTTCGTAGTAAGTAATACTGTTCTTTTACTGTATCCCACAGTGTTACTGGCTGTGCACTCATATCTTCCAGTGTTTCCAGGGCGTAATGCCTGAATGACTAGAGTTCCATTGGGAAAGACTCCAAGGTTTTGTGCTGTAAAAAACTGTGAAGCAGTGAGCTGTATGCCTTTAGGTGTCTTCCATCGGATGACAGGTGGGGGGCCGCCTGTTGCAGCGCAGTGGATGTAGGCAGTGGTGCCCTCGCGGAGGGTGATGTTTTCATAGTTCTTCTGCTCTATCACTGGTTGCATAGTCAAAACATGAAGGTGAACGGACACAATGTCAGATCCCACCGTACTGCTGCCCATGCACTTATAAAGTCCTCGATCTGTGGAAATGACCTCACTGATCCGGAAGGTACCATTTCTCAGCACAGTCAAGCGTTGGTGCAGAGACTCGCCACTGGGAGCAGCATTCATGGGGATCCCGTTCGGGAGCATCCATGTGACTCTGGGCACTGGATGACCCTCAACCTGACAGTCCAAATCCACTTTACCACCCAGCTGAACCTTGATCTCTCTATTACGGGGCTGCAGCACCAGTGGGTGTTGAGAAAGGACCACGAGGTTGACCACCATCTTGTCTGTTCCGTACTGATTCTGGACTGTGCAGAGGTACTGGCCCTCATCCGTGTGTTGTGTGTTCCTAATGATGAGTGTCCCGTTTAGATGCACCTCGAACCTGTGAACCCTGGTGTTTCGGACAATGCTTGCTCCTGTGTTAGTAAAGAAAAATATATTTATCATTAAACACTATTTTGTTCCACAAATACAAACAATAAAGCAGAGGAAATAAGGAACAGAAACTAAAATTGTATTGCAGTGTTTTAAAGGAGGCCAAATGTTATTTACATATCAAGTGAGCCAATGTATTTATAAATCTTACAAAGAAATAATTAAATTAAACGAAGAAAAACAAATACAGCACATCCATGCCATAGTAGCAATCTACAAACAGTTAATTACAGGGTGATTAACTGATTGACAACAGAGATCACACTGAAATGTAACACCAGCCTGAGATATGGAGGATCATCCTCTGTAAAAATGGCTGTGGTGTAGCCAGAGGGCAAAAACAGTTTTGCGACATGATAAAAGCTTCTGCTGAAGGCTGCAGCGTCCTCAGAAAATATTTCAACATTAAACAGCCTTTAACAACTGAAACCAAAGTTTGTAAACAACTCACTCCCCTGCAAAAAAGCCCATGGAGAACATCAGCATTTTCACATCACATAGACAGAGGGGTGCCTTGTGTACTGCAGCCCTATTTTGTTAACTTTTTGTTACTGTGGTAAATCCAAAAATGGTTTTAACACATTGCAATTGCTAAACAGCATGCCATATGATGACAGACACATAACTCGATCAACAACTCCTTAAGAAAAATCACAGATTCTCCATGGAGATTAGTGCATGAATTATGAAGTTTCTGAAGAATGAAAAACATTGGTTTACAAACAGAAAAATAATGATTAAGTATTGATTTTGTATTTATGCAGTAAACAAAAATGAAAGCTTTTTTACATTAACAATGTACAGTATAAGGCATAATAAAATGAGATTAACAATTAAATATATTGACTATTGTAGTTTTTGTAATTTGTTTTTATCTTTTATGGTGGACAAATCATATGTTTGAATTTCTCTTCTAAATAATAGCAGTACTAAAAGATTTTGCATTAAAGGTTTTAGATTCAGAGTAAAATAGTTTAGGCTTTTAGGCATGCTTTAAATTAAAAAACAAAATCTAATACATACCACTATCAACCTTAGTCCACGACAGGAAGGGCTTGGGTTCACCCATCGCCTCACAGGGAAGCCAAGCATCTGTTTCAGCTTTCACCGTGAATGTTAGGGAATTGCTCTTGGTTATCCTTGGCTTCTCTGCTAACGTATATCCCTGTCCAGGTAACTGGTGCAATCTGGTCACATCCTGCGGCCTCGTTAGTAGCCTCTCTGCAAATGTATTTGTTTGGGCTGTGGTAATTACTGGGGCAGAGGTAGTGTTATGACTGATTGTTTCCCCCCTAGTCTGTGTTGGGTGTTTGGAAGTGATTACATTAGCAGGTGACTGGGTTGCAGTATGACTTTCTGATGTGTTAGTGATGCCTTTTATTTGATGTTCTTCACTGTTGTTGACCCTGATAGTTTGAACAGTCTGGGTAGTGGTCTCTAGTGAGTAGGAGTTTGTAGACATTATTTTTTCCTGCTCAAATTTAGATGACGTAGCCTTGGGGGGCGATGTTGTGCCAGTACTTAGGGTTGGAGTATCAACATCAACAGTATTTGTGGTTTCTTGAATACGCTGGTTTGCCTTTGACTCATTGCTTGTGGTTGCATTTTGACTGGAATTATCATAATGACTTTCAGACCCATTGGGTTTCTCTGTGGTTGTGTCGGAGTCATCCTCCAAAAGCAAACTTGGTGTCAAAATTAGGTCATGAGACGTGACTTCAGTAGTCAATGTCGCCAATGTTGTCCCAGAAGTATAAGCAGGTGAAGTAGTTGGAGGCTGAGTCGATTCACCAGACTTCTCAGGGGATCCAAACTGATGGTTTGATTGACTTTGGCTCACATCTGTTTGCACTGTCGTAGTCGGAACACTCAAAGAAGAATCTTTCAAATCTGGGTCAAGTCCACCTTGGTCTGCTGTATCCATTGGCTGCTGTGTCTCCAAAGGTTTATAAGGTGAGAAAGTGCTACCTGTGAAGATCTGCTGAATGGGTGATGTAAGCTCATTAAACGCCAAAGCAAGAGTTAAAGTCTCTGAAATCCCCAGGTCTCTTTGAAAACTCGTGGTACCATGAACCTCCTCTGGAAAGGCTGTTGGAAATAATGGTGCCACTGATGTGTTTTTAACTAGTGGTTTGGCCTGGTGCTGGAGGCTATCCTTACTTTTTGGGGTAAGGGCTGGTTGGGAAGGGGGCTTGGTGGCTGGTTTGTGATCATGCATGGAGACTGTATTTTCTTTATGACTCACTCTGCCTGATGACGCTTCTTGGCTCCTGGTGAATGGAACAGTGGTATTGAATCTGGCTGTTGTAACCTCTAATGGTTCTATTTTTAGCTCAGTGGAGGCAGTAGCCTGGGCCTTCTTTGAATTAGCATTTTTAGATGTTGGTGCAAAAATCTTGGTGGGTTTGTCCAGCTTTTGTTTCCGTTTACTTGGCCTTTTCCTCCGCGCCCCGTTCCTTCTCCTGGAGTTAGGGTGTTTGGAGTTAGGTTTTCTGGTTGTTGAAGCCGCTGCAGTAGTGAGAACCTGAACTTGAAAACTAAAATCATCAACCGATTTGTCCCAGGCTTGGGTATGTAGCTGTGGTGTTACAGTCTCACCAAGATATTTTCCACTTTCTTCTTGGCTCTTTTCGGACTCCTCTGGACGAAGTGAGAGGATAATTTGACTTCCATTCCACAAAAGCTCTTTGTCATTACCAGCATTGGAAAGGACTGTGGGTTTTTCTGTCTTCTCACTGCTTTCAAAAGTCTCGGACCTGTCAGGCTCTTCGACTTTGTTAACATCTGTATCTGTGCTATGTTTCTCTGATGGAGAAAATGTACTATTGCGTTCGCTGTTTGTGTGCTGCTGCCAAACAGTGACAGCATGTGGAGGAACAGATGTGGTTTGTGGGAGTGTGAATAAACTGCTGGAAGTTGTGTATGCATCCAAATTTCTGCTATGTATCGCAGTGTGTGTCTGCATTATGTTTGGCTGTGTGGTTGCATATTTGGTGTATACGTGTTGACTGTTTGGTGTCCTTTCATGTTTCATTAGAGTGGGGTCGTAGCCTGTAGCCGTGTCATACTGTCTTTGGTGTTGTGTAGTGTGATTGTCAGCGTAGACTTGTGCTGTTTGTGTCACTGGAGTGTCTGGTGTTGTGAGGTAAGTCTGGCTGTCCTTCCCCAGCACTGTCACGCCATCTGATGATCCTTCAATAGTTTCTTGAGACTGTTTGGTCTGCTTAATGAGTCTGCTCTCTGTTGTAGGCTGAACTGGCAGCGGTGTCACAGTGTTCTGAGTGTTTTTGTCTCTAATTTTAGCCAAAATAACAGCCCATTTTTCTTTGTCAATTTTCTTCTGTGACTTATTAATCCTCCTTCTGCTGTCGACTGTAGGCTTCTTGACGTCCACCTGTGATCCTGTTGGTTTTTTGAGCATTGTTGGCCGTCGCCATGTATTCCTGGATGGATGGCTGCCCCTTCTCCCTGCTGCAATTCTTCTTGCAGGATTCTGAAGTTTTATTGGAGACACTTCCTGATCTACCTCAATGTCCCCTGATGCCTCCTGTGCATCTTCAGACAGGACTTTAATTTCAGTACTGGCCCCAGAGGCTGACTGAGGTCTTGCTGGAAACTTCCTCAGGGGCCTTATTAGTCCTTTGTGTCTCAGCACAGTGATTTGTGTAGCCAGTGCATCCACACCATGTTGATTTATAGCGACGCATTTGTAATGACCACTGTCTGATAAGTACGCTTGGGGAATATTCAGAGTGCCATTGGAATAAACAGAAGCCCGAGAGGATTTGTTGTATAAACTAACAATGCTGTTGCTTGGTAAGATCCAGTTTATTTCAGCATCAGGTGAGCCAGATGCATCACATGGCAGTGAAATGGGGTTTCCTGCAAAAACCTGAGTAGGTGAAATTAAAGCTTCCTTGCCTGGAGGAGGCGTGGAGTTCTCCTCTACTGTAAGGTAGAATGGCATCACAGCCAGGTCTCCCCGAACCTTTGCAGTGCAGTAATAAATTCCTGTGTCTGTGTGGGTGACAGATTTAATATCCAGCTGTCCATCTGGAGACACAGACAGCCTTTTGTCTGGACCACTGTGCGGTGCCCTAACTCTGGAACCGTCTGGCAGAATCCAGTAAATAACAGCCTGTTCAGAACTTTGCACCTTACACTGCATTTGAATCGGACTTCCCAAAACAGCAGTCCACACTTTACGAGTTGTGTTATTTGACTTGATCCAGACCCAGTTCCTTTTCTGTCTCCGCATCTGCTCCACATTGACTGTCTGAGAGAGATCCAAGCTGAGGATCAATTTAACAATTTGAGCTGATGACTGAAGTCTGTTGAGCTGCAGGTTTGCAGATGCCTGCATCAGCCACTCTGGCTGGGCCATGACATTTACTTTGATTCCTGTGTAGTAAAGAGCGTCCTTGTCAGAGTCCTGTCTGTACTCATAGGTTGGATGAGGCTCTTTCCTCAGCATAATCCCTCTTTGTAAGTGAGCTGGCACATTACTGTAGTATGCTATTAGCCTCCAGAGTCGCTCATACTTTTCTCTGTCAACAGCGCAGTCAAGATCCACTGACAAAGTGATGTTAGACTCCAGCTGGAGCTGGCTGATCTGTTCCCAGTTGATCTTGGCGAGCTCTCTCGGCTCCCCGATGCTACAACGAAGAGTCGCCTCGTTGCCGTGCTCATCCGACATTTCCAGAGTGATATTTCCAAATGGTTCCCTAAAAGTATCTACAGTCATGACCTCGCTCTCAGTGTCCTCTGGTGCAGAGATCCTGTGAGTAGAACTGATGACTGGACTGCTGCAGTCCATGTTGTCTGCAGCATGGAGCTCTTTCTTCTGCAGGTGCCTTGGAGAAGAACACACTGGACACAGCTGGCCACCAGGTAGGTTTCTGTCTTTTTTACATTTTAAGACCCCTAAAGAAAAGAGAATGATAGAAAATAGTTGACATTACAGAATGTTACAGAATTGGTACAAAATACAACAATTTTAGCTGGATTCATGGTGCTCAAGTCAGTTTGATTTACAGAGGAAGTTCTTACATTTTTCCAAAGACTGAATCCACAAAATGAAAAATTGATCATAGAGGAAAAGTGGCTTTGAATCAACATGGCACCTGTTCTGTTATTTAAAATGTCTTCATGTCTCCTTTGGGGTAAGATTAAGTAATTATGCAAACTTTGCTTGTCAGTCAGACAAGGTTGATTCAAAGCTTTTTGGAGCCTAATTCCTTTAGAAACCCAATTTCCACAGAAGTTGCTAATCCACTGGTGGATTCCTGAATGGTCTCTTGTTTTGGAGACAGAAACAACTAAAAAATTAAAATAAAACCCAAGGTATAAAACTGAACACTCCAACCTGGAAAGGTTTGATTCCAATCCTGAAGCCATCTGAGGTTGCAGTCACAGGTCCAGGAGTTCCCATGGAGGTATAGGTTTTCTAGCTGAGGCATTGTTGCTACCAACTTTGAGGGCAGTGTTGTAAGTCCATTATCTGACAGGTAGAGGTGCTTGAGTGTGGACATGTGGAACTGATTCATGATGGTAAAGGTGGAGAAAGTGGCCGGGTGCAGCTGCTGCAACTGGTTGCCTTCCAGCTGCAGCAGTCGCAGGGAGGTGAGACCCTGGAAAGCATCAGGGTGGATGAACTCCAGCTGATTGTGGTCCAGGTGCAGCCTGGCCAGAGATGACAAACCCCAGAGGGCTCGTCTGTTAAGCTCTTTGAGTTTGTTGTAGCTCATTTTTAGCATCTAGAGGGGAAAACAACAGGAGAAAGAAAAACAAAACAAAAAAAGTTATTGCCAGTAATGACAGTATGGATCTCATCAACACTGCCACACCCAAATACTGACATCTTGCATGTGCCAGACATTCCCACGGAGAAACGGGTGTTATGTGGAACAGAAGTGAAACTATTTCAGGCAACAATGCAGACACTTCATCTTCATCTAAACTTTAGACTCTAAAAATGAAGGTTTGCGTAGAGAATAGTTCCACTCTATATTTGCTAACCCAGTATATCTCACAACTTTATACAGTGTTCTGTTTGCAACTCAGACGAAAGTCCTTTGAAAGAAATCAAGAATTTTACATCAAATCACGAAGCTGAAGTTGTTAATCCGTCACTTTTGTGCTGGTATTGTTAACAACATGTGGCAACTTTTGTAAATTGTGTTGTCCTTTGTTGTTCTTAATTAATCAGGTGAGGAAGGTGTTGACTTTTAAATTATATTTTCCTTTAAAACAAAAAAGAAATCAAATTTTTAGACTGTGATGGGGGAATAAATTGGAAAACTTTCACGCTGTAATCACAGGACAAAATAAAATAACCATTAATTGAGATAAGTCAGTTAGTAATTTAATTGTCACTAAGTTTTGTATTGTCTTATTGTTATAAAATTTGTTTTAAAATCAGTTACAGTGCATTTGCTGCAGCTCTGAACATAATTCATACTTTCCCCATGTTCCACATTGGGAAAATATATTTTAAGACAGAGCACCTGTAAGGAAGTGAGGTCCTTGAACGCCCCATCAGGTAGGGAATGGATGTCATTTCCATGAATCATCAGAAGCTCCAGTTTCCTCAGACCAGCCAGTGATTTATCAGTGATCTTGATACTGTTGAACCTACAACAGGAAAAACAGAACAGGCGGTGGAATAAACATCAAGTGCATTCATGGAATCTTGCAACATGCAGTCCAAACACTGACTGACCCCAGATTCATGCGTTCCACATTTTTTGATACAGAGGCTGGGATGACGCTGAGGGAGCGGAAGGTGCAGTGGAGCTCACTGGGCTGAGGGCAGGAGCAGGGACGAGGGCAGGAGGCGGGGGCAGCAGAGGGAAAGATCATCAGCATTAGAAGGGTGCGGAGGAGAGGCACGGCTGCGGCGTCCATCTTCATCCACAGGAGAACTTACACCAGTTGTGACTGCAATGTTACCAGACAGTGACACTGCACATTATTTATGACAACAATGTTGATTTTTTAAAAATGCATAATTTTAACTCAATCATTTCAACCTTGTTTAACGTTATCTCCAAATTGTTCCTCTAAACTGCTTGTTCATAATCTTCTTCATCCCGGTCAGAACGGAAAATCTCATCATCGTGTATCAAACGTGTATCTCATTGATGAAGCTTAAGACAGACTATTAGTGTTGGACAGGATTAGATTGCTTTAACTACAGACCAATGGAAGAAAGTCAGAATTCTGATGAAAAATACCACACGACCTACTGCGTCTACTTTAATGTAAACTCACAATGTTAAATGTCTGTGTCCTTATTTATAGCCCTGCACCATGCTCAAGTACTTTCAACTTCTGTAACTGCTGAGTGTCTCCTTAATAAATTCTAATAATGACCCACAAAGACAAAGTTTAACTCACTTACAACACTGCCCTCAAATCTTCAACTCCTTTCAACAACCTTGAAAGAAAGCTGTGGCTCATGTACTTTTCTGCCGGTCCTGACTACCTTAGGCAATATCACAGCTCACGTCTGTCAGCAAACTGTATGATTTTTTTCAAATTCAGTCATTTGTTAACACCAGTGAAATTATGATATATTATGAATGTTACTCATTGTCTGTCATTTTACTCACAGAGAAAGAATAGAAAAAAAAAAATCAAGTCAGCAACTTTAAACCAGTCAAGTGTCCCTACAATTATATTGGCATCATTATTTAATAGAATAAGAGCTAGACATACCACTAATCGTTGTATCTATCGATTAATCAGCAAGTTACTAAGTCAAATGTAACATTATTTTCCGAAACGCTGGCCGAGAGTTTATTCATTTTAATTAGACTCTGAGAAGCTCTTACCTCAGACCCGGGATAATCTCACTCTGAGAAATCTCTCGTATTCCATTTCAGCATCGATAAAAGGGGCTCCGATAGAATTTAAACTGGAGGGGGGAAATAAACTTCAGATTAAGCTGAGTTTCCTTGCAGAAAAAATAGCAGTGTGCGCTGGGAGGCTCCTCTTCAGGAGTGAGTGGAGGAGACTGTGCGTAAAAGAGCGCAGTGCCGAAGCGCAACAGGAGGAGTCACAAGTTCTAAACACTTTGCGTCGAGTCAGTCACACTGCTGTGCTAGGAAATGATGTGTTCGTTTAAAACCGCAGGGATGAAATGACCTACAGATTAAAAGCCAACAGTCTTTGAAGGGAAATCACAGACAAACACTTAGGGTTAACTGATAAATATGTGGTTGTTTTACAAATTATTAGTCCAGGCAGCCAAAGTCCTTGAGACCTTAATACGTTAAATAACAGTTAACAGTTAAAGCTAACAAATGTCACCGGTGCGAAATATTTACCATTTACCTTTACAAAGAAGACCGCTTCTAACAGACTTTGGTGTGTTTGTGGGCCATGTTAATAGTTCGTGGCCCATTATTGGTTCATATCAATTTTACAGTAAAACGTAGCAGGAACACATGTAAAAACAAAAAGTGATACAAATTAGTTGTGCTGAAAATAAGTATAAACTTGCCTTTTATGGAAGGTCATGGTCCATGAATTTCACATGTATTATATTTGGATTTGAATGACAGACCTAGCTAATGACGATGGTGGTCTAATTGTAGGCGGTGGGAGTGAACTCCGATGAACAGTCTGTAACTGTGTAACCTATTGACTTTGGATCTTGCTCTGATGGAGTTTTGGATTTACTTTACTTGTTTGACGTCAGCTCATCCGACTTGTTCAGCCTCTACCTGCAGTGTGAGCTTTGGCACCTGTGTGTCCTCCTCATGTCTGGAAGTCTCCATCACCTTCACCGCTGCTGAAGGAGAGCAGCAGCTGCTGAATCCTAGACTTTGTGACAGTGTTTGAGTTGGAGGGGCCAGAGGTGACGGTGTAGACGGCAGTCTTAAAGCCTGCTGTCCTGCAGAACCTCCATCCATCATGGTGTCACTGAGGTCTGTAGCACACATGCATCAAAACCACATGAAGGTAAGGTGGAGGAAAACTCTGTGTCCTGTCACCACTCCTGAGAATAACCCTAATGAGTCACAGGTGCTGCATGAATCACTGGATCTGAAGGATGAGTGCTGCATAAACTCTTCAAACAATCCTCACAAGGTGAAGTGATACTACACCTTTTCTGTAGTGGAGCAGTATGACGTACAGAAATGAAAAAAAAAATCAACATCAAAAGATCTTTGTTTGTATAAATCCATCGTTATCACTGGAATGCAAAAGTTTATTTGTCAAAGACTATATATTAGAAAAAAAATCTCAGCAATTTATCTAAAAATTGGGGAGGAAACAAGAGGAAGAAATAGATCACAACATCATTTACAGGTTCTCCAAACGGTTTGGTTATCAAGATTATTCATGTATAAAAAGTTTGAGAACCACTGCTTCAGCTAATTAATCAAGAATGAACATCAAACCAATTTGTGAAATAGACTTTCAGACTATGTTTTGAAACAAAATCTGAAAATAATCTTGAATAACTACATTTCTTGAGAAGTAAAACCCAGTGACCTTCAGCTACCCGAGTTAGAAATAAACTTTGTGCTGGTGTCAAAGTCGAGTCTCTCCCTGCATCATCCGCCCACCCACACACACACACACACACACACACTCTTTACTATTTACTTCTGCTGATCAGTCCAGATGCAGAGTGTCTTTGACCTTCTGTATTCAGCCAGTTACCATAACAGGCCTGAAATAAAAGTGGCTTTAAAAGTCTGTGTAGGATAAAGACAGATGGAGTTTCCCCCGTTTTACCCTTTACTGTAAATCTGAGGGAACATATGGCTTTCATATGTGCTCCGGATGACTCTCTGTGATCTAATGATCATTTGTTTGGAAAAAGGCCCACGGGGCTCGGAGCCAGAAAGTGGCTGGACCCACTTCTGACATTACGTAAACACCAGAGGAAGCCCATAGCCTGGAAAGTCAGGAGGTGAAGTCCTGAACATCTGCAGATACATCCCATCCCTGGACGTAGAGGTTGAAGCCGCAGAAGGTAAAAGGATTAGCACTTCATCCCTCCTCCCTTCAGACTGCTATACGATTTACTCGCACCTACTCTGTGAGCCAGAGCAGAAATTATGACTAAAGCCCAGACAGGACTGTATGTCAATATAGATTAGGAGCAGCTGAGGAGAGGAGAAGGAGAAGCTACGTATACGATGTTAGTGTACACAGCTGAACCTCCTGTGTGACCTCAAACCTGAGTTATGGCCTTTTTTCAAACAGATGATTCTTAAAAACAGATTCTGTTCCAGTGGCTCATGGTCGTTCACTCAAAATAGCAAATATATGTGAGCTCAGACACGTGCGGAGACATTTGCCTTTTGCGTATGCCCCCGGTACTAACGACATAAGACATCAACAGGTGAACTGAGGAAAGTTATCCAACGTCACCAATTTGTTTAAATTATAATTAATTATTATATTTTTGTCCTTAGTCGTCAAGTGACAGACAGACAGAACAATACAATACTCAGTAGTTGGCTATAAAAAATGGAAAGACAAAAAAGCCT